GTCTTCTGCATTGTCATAAGTATTTGGGTTAACACTTTCGTCAACCTCTAATATTTTTTCAATAAAGTCATAGCCAAAAGCATTCCAATCCAAGTCACTAGAAATGAGTAGAACATTTTAATATTTTCAGTTTTTTCTAATTTCCATTAAAAACATCATTTCCGATAACAATTCGCGAGGCTTTCAAGCTATTTTTTCGGCCCCTTCCGCTTAAGGTAATTCCTCACTTTTGCACTGCGTATCCTGTACTGCCCATAAAAATTACGCAATCAGTGGAACGAGCGCACTCGCATTCCTCGAATACGATATTGTATTATACTGTATGGACCAGGTAAAGAGGTACGATGGTCTTTAGCTCTTAAAAAAGCACGGTTATGCATAATTTTGGTATACAATTTAACCCCCGTAATTTGGAGGAATCAAGGAGGCTCCATAGGGTTTTTTGATCGCGCTAGATCTGGTTGCGAAGATAGAGCGAGCTTTAGAAGTGTCAACACGCAAAACAAACATGGCGGCTCAAAACGATGGCATGGTTATTATTTGAAAAGGTGTGCTCATACAGTTTAACACAATACAGTTTTTATGTGATGGAATCTAGAGTTTCCAGCCACTCGTAATATTCATGGGCCTTCTACGCCTGAAAAAAGATGACAACCACAAAGAAAACACCGTGGGAAAGATTGCCAAAAGGCGACAGATTAGAAAGTCTACGCATGCTCAGATACCGATTTTGGCGAGGTTCTATTCCATTATGTAATGTTAACGACAAAGAAAATAAGGATCTTTCGAGCAGGATTTATCGCCTTTGCAAATAGCAAGAAAACTGCCTTTGCAACCCCTCTTTTTTTGGCTTTTAAATACTCGGCAGGACAATTTTCACAAATTGTGAAAATTTTGGGAGATTTCATCAAAGCAAATTGAAGAAAATTAAAGGCAAAGCCAAACTATCGCTGGCGAGGGCTTCCCTTCGTGATGCCTTAGATTAATAACGAAAGTCATTTTGATAATATTTACGAGAGCAAAAGATAGTCTGAACCTTGCTTATTGCCATTTGATGGCTTTTAGTGACCTTGAAAAGCGAAAACAAGAATTTTCTAGAAAAACATTACGCTAGCGCGCGCTTAAACATTAAGAAAAAACCCCATGGAGCCTTCTTAAAAAAAAAAAAAAAAAAAAAATTCGAAGGGGAAAAAAAAAAAAAAGGAAAGCGTTCACGAACAAGTTGAGTCGATGTCGTTCAAATTTGCGTGATTTTTACATAAATTATATATCAAACTGTTCCATACGCTCGAGACTTTCTGCTTATCAAGTTTTTTTTAAGTGTTGCTTTCAAAACCCTTGCTTCCAGCTGCAGCAAAATGTACCGTGAACCGATGAAATGACTGCGTGATCAGTGCCAGTACAGGCACAAATGGGGTAAGTTTGACCCATTCTATCTTCTAAACAAGCCCAGTGACTTATCTTTTTAATCGTATATTGGTAAGGAACATCTGAGGAAAGTTAAAAAAAATGGTTCGATAACTGAAAGCAAGTGAATTTTAGGGATCTTATGACGTGATGCATATTCGGGCAGAAAGCATTAAAATTATATTTAGGTAAACACAATCGGCAGTAGCAGTATGTCTCTCCCAGGAAAAAGGCGCCTGGAGAATGCATCATTTTATTTTGCTGTTATTTAGCCATTAAATTTTAATTTAGCTTTACGTCTGTTTACACCAAAAAACAAAAGCATGGAATTTCTAAATTAATTCTCATTTGAAATCATTACCTCAGAGGATATTCCCACGCGAATTCACTCACAGCTTCCTTCACTGCCTCTTTGTTTTCTTCATCTTCATAATCAACAAAATATTCTGCCAAGCTGATAGTTAAAACCGATCCGAACGCAACTATAAGAAGAAATCTGTTCATGGCGAAGTCTGCCTCGAAGCTGGCTCTCAACTACAGCTTCAAGTTGCATTACATACTTTTTCAACAGGTACTAGAAGCGCATGGTCTCCATATCATACGGGCATGATCATGTTCACGTAAATAGCTTAAGAGGCCTCTCTAAGTCGGTAAGTGCTCATCTTCACCAATATTCTAGATCGGAATGTAAGTAAAATCTTCTTTTACCGTTGCCGCTTTTCATCACTAAAATTTTTAAGAAAGTATATTCTATCAAAAACTGAAACACAACACAAATCCTAACAAGCCTTAGAAAATTTCACTGTAGTTATTTGGGTTAAGTGATTATCTCAAAGACGCCTTGAACTAAGAAGCATTATTACGGCAAGAGAAACCTTCTTTGCTCTCTCGCCAAGTTTTCTTTTTTATCATAATTCAAGACGATCAGTCAAAACACTTAGTTATCTTGATCGTATTGGGGGAGTTTCTTTCCTTGAGTATACATACCATATCGCAAATAGGAAGGGGAAGTAAACAGACCCAGGGGCCGTTCCTCGAAGTTACCAGGACTTTAGAGAAACGGGGTTCCGTTCCCTAATTGGCTCCATTTTGCATCGCATTTCTTCATAAGATTGTAATCAAATCATACTTCGCTAGGTCGCAGGATTACTGAAGGGATCATATAGTCAATACTGGCAATTGTGAAGCGACGCCCGACTCAATATGGCGGCACGCATAAATTTCCATTTTTAAAATAGGCGGTATTTGGTTTGAATTGTCTGCTTATAGTAATCGCTTTAAAACCTTCGTACGAACAAATCTTAAACTTAAAAGATCATTTGCAATAGTTTGATGAACAATTTTTCATACACTAGTGAATATTTTCTTTGAAAGCGACTCGTTTCGACCTATTCTGGTAATAAGTCAACACTGGGAAGCTCCAAAGTGTCCGTATTCGTTTTGCTTGCAATATAATTTATAAACAAGAAAAAAAAATGGCAAGAGAACCGGTTGTGGGGGAGGAATTCAATTAATATGTTCCTCCATGCGGCGGGATATGAATAAAACTGAACACCTACCTTGAAAATATTTTTTATTGTAATCGGTATATTCTAACAAAAACACTAGTAAGACCTAGAAGTGTTTTGATCTGGAGACTAAATGTTGAAGGCTCCAAAATGTTGATAAAATTAAGCATTTCTTAATATAGGCGATTACGTATCAACACTAGTTTATCGTTAGAGTCAAATAAAGAGATATCGTAAGTTTATATTTGGATTTCGTGATAAGACTTAAGTAAATTGATTTCAATCCTAGTTAAAAACATTTTGAAAAGGAGACATTCCTCTTTTCCTCCCTCCCAATTTAAACACAAGAGAGAGGATCGCATTTGTCGTTTATTGCTTACGTTTTCAAATAAGATTTATCATACAATCGAACTCATCGGCTTGAAAAAAAAAACACTTCTCCTTATGCTCAATATACTCTCCTTATACTCAATATGCGGTGAGGAAATCTTTGTTTGTGTGAATAATTTTGTAGTATATGTAACATTTGATGGGCAATGAAAGTGTGCATTGATGGTTATGTCGCACAGTCAACGGCCTGAACGTAGTAGATGAAGTTTATCGTGTTGTTTGGTCTATCGTGAAATACTTTATGAAAAGGACTGTTGTCGATCGTAAAAACTAACGTTTTGCGAGTTGGCGGCCGAAGCCATAATTAGTGTCAGTAGTATCTTTTTATCATTTTACCCGTGAGAACATAAAGTAATCAAAGGGATCGGGGACAACGTAGATTTTGATCTCGACAAAAAGCTTAATTAATAGGGCCAAGGTCAATGCATTTGGGAAGAATTTGTTTCCGGCTTATTAAGGGTATTAAGGACACGTTTAAGTGGATGGACCAATGTTATAGAAGTCCGGAGCATTTGCGCCGATTCTGAAATGAGTAACTTATTCATCAGGATTTCGGTCCTCGTCTGTTCCTGATTAGCATCAAAATTTGAATTTAAAGTCTTGAAGTCAGAGATACCCGAAGGGATAAATGTGCCAAAGCATTAAGCAAATACTGCCGTGATATTGTTAGCTACTCTTAAAAATTGCGCTCATCTCTATCGACTCCTTCATTTGATTGTTCCATGATAAAGTTTATCGCCTGGACGCGGTTATTTTAAGTTCATCGTGGTGGCCGAAATATTCCCGAGCATTGCAAGTATATCTGGACCTGTACAAAAAATCCAGTATTTCTATTAAGTAAATGAATATAAATTGCCAAAAAAAAAATATATATATATATATAAACACTTTTATAGTAATAAACAGGCCAGAAATTTTGACACATTTGTTTAGTCACCTTCTATTTAATACTTTCTGGAAGTGGATTGTCATAATTACACTGCCTATATCAGGAAAATATACAACTTCAACCCTTCCATCGTTCTCGTGTCATAAAAGTTAAGAAATTTCGAACACTTTCACTTTACTTTACTAAGATAAATGAATGTGAAGGTATTATATTTCCGCATCATAATCAAGAGTACTAATTACAATAAGTGTTTTGAACGCCTGTTGGAACAAAGACGATGCAACAACTGAAAATATAACAGAGTAATCTCTGTGCAGTTAAGTGGTTGCGTAAATCTATCAGTAAAATGACCTGATACGACCTTACATAAACAACGGGTTCTAATAGGAGAAACAAAAAACACTCCAGATACATACGTCAATGACTAAATATAGTTTTTATCGTGGGGCCTTTGCAATGGCTAGAACATTGAATAAATATTGGATTAGAATATTTATTTAGAAGTGTTATTCTTCTCTTTATCTTTTCCCAATAAACTGACCGGTTACAAGAGGTGAGTGAATTGTATAAATAATGATCCTAGTGCAGCTGTGGAAATGTTTTGGTTTTATTCGTCCTCGCAGCCGGTTTTATCAGGTTACAAATAGTATCATGCTGGGTTACATACCAAACTGAAGTATTGGTTAACAAGACTGATTGAGCACTTTATCTGTTAATAAATAAGGCTCAGAACACGATCACGCAATATGGAAATCACTCACTTGTATTTGCTATCAAAAGAATATAAAATGCACTGTACACCCGGGCACGGAGGTCTTCGCCATGAACAGGTTTCTCCTTATCGCCGTTTCTGGATCGGTTCTTGCTATCTCCTTGGCATTGAGTATGACTGATTATGGAGTAGAAGAGAACACAGCAGTCTGGAAAGAAACGTTAAGGTATTAAGTTTAAAAGAGGAGTTCATTGTAGATATCGTATACTTTACTTCGTACAAATTGTAGAGCCCTTTTTGCCCAAATGAAGTTTGATTTTACTAGTATGACAAAAAGTACCCTAACGAACCTACCTATTTACTGTGGGGCACTCAATACTTGTCTCCAATCAATAAGGTTATTTTTGTTACTGGACTATATGAAATAATACACAATGATGGCGTTTAGAAGTGGGCTTCTGTCTGTACCAGATGCCTTGACCATGGAGTGAGCTTTAAAATAACCAGGCTTTATATGATCCGCTGGTTTTTATTATGATAGAAAATAAAATACGTTCAGCAGCTGAAGATGTTGATTTAGAGAAGCTTACAATGTTCATCTCAATTAAAGTGACTTTGATCAGAATACTGAAGATGGTTACTTCGATAAAAACCGACCAGAAGGTTACACTGATCATGAAGATGAGGAGAGATTATCAGACCCTGAATGGCGCAAAAATAGGCGACGTTCGTACAGAAGGCGGGTAAAGCAGACCAAGGCGAGGCGCACGAGATTCCGTCCTTGTGGGCTGCGACGCCGGCGGAGATGTGGATAACGTTTTTCATAAGTGGAGGTAAAGTATGAAGGAAAGTCCTCAGCTGCTTCTAAACGACTTTTCTTCTAGATAGTAGTCAGTTGAGAGCGCCCGTCTCTTACAGCTTTGATCTTGGTGAGATTACCTTACCCGGTTACACATATATTTTGTCTTAATTTGTCCCAGTTTCCACACATGCTCCAAATGGACTATATTCGTTACGCTAATCTAATTGCAAAGCAACTGAGCTATTAATTTGTTGAGATGATTTTTTTGCTACGGTTACAGAAACAATATTTAATGTTTCCATTAAATAAAGCGTACCTCGGGAAATCCTCACCTTTGCGATTAAAGATATCTATTATACATACACTCTACGCTCAGTACCCTACATTATGCTGTTGATTATCAAATTTGTCTTTTATCACTATTAGTTTATAATTGTTATTATTGTTATCATTGTTATTATTATTATTATTATTATTATTATTGTTATTATTATTATTTCAACAGATTTATCAGCACAGTCCAAACTCGATGACCAATAGACACCTTCAATCAAGAAAATACATCTCTGCAGAATACATTGCTGTCATAAAGTAAAACTTTTAGAGATCAGCTTATATAGATATGTCATAGAATAAAAATTACAGTGATGTCTCTTACTCAAATGTGAATTTGCCTTAAAAATATAAGCCATAAACAAGAAATTTGCCTCGCTCCCTTGTGTGCTCAGTGGTGGTAAGCTTTATTCTTCTTTTCCAAACGTTTTGACTCCTTCTAATAAAAAGAAAATCAGTGTTTACAATCAGTCACTAAAAAAAAAAAATAGTAATGATAAATTCACGCACTCAACGCTTTTGACATTGCTGCTTCTTGCAGAACGCAGGATGCTCTTGATTTCTCACGTTCGAGAAAAAAAAAAAGGGTTAGCAATAGTTTTTTTGAATACGCTAATACTCGAGGCACATATAACCACATATAACGCGTGTTTTACTTCATTTTGCGTATTGTACCTTTTACCACCAAGTAAAACAAATCTCGTTTTACATCAGCGAATATATATAGAATAAAATGTATTCTCTCATTGTGAACATCGATAATAGACAATACAAGACTTCCCACATTCCTCAACTGTTCTTGATAAAAGCTCCTGGTAAGAATCAAGCTCATAGAAATCTGAACATAGAACTCACAAGAACGATGGAAAGTATCTCGAAGCGCTACCTTCTGAATTTGTAACGTTTCCAAACGCGGGATGCGATAAAAAGAAAGAAAGGAAATTGGAATAGTCTTGATGAGCAAATTTGGCGTTAAACGTTCTTCGAAATGAAAGGCTCTCCGTGGTTTGGTTATGCTTGGAAAGTTTTTAAGGGAGTGTTGCATGACACCCCAAAGAACTTCTAAGACCACAAAAACCCAACAATTGAACCCCAAGAAAATTCGTTAAAACTGAAGTGTCAGAAATTTTGTTTTTGCTTAGGGTTTTTTTTTTTTGTTTTTTCTCTGGAAAAGAGCTGCAAAACGATCCGATTGAAGATTGCATATATCAGTTACGCAAACAACACAATCTTAACGAGGGCAATACACCTCGTAGATAAACTGCTAAACAACCAAATTTAGAAGCACTCTAGATAATAAGGGAAAAAGGAAATTGCTACTTCAAAGCCGGTGCTCTATTTAACACCCAGTGTCGAAAAGCAAATTGTCCCCATGGCACTAGTGTTTTAAAAATGTAATTTAAACATTCATGAACGCTAAGATGAAAAAAAATATATATTAACGCTTACATATATTCGCAATTTGACAAAGAGTTGCTAAAAGTTTTTTGACTGACGGACTGAACGTTGAGGGCTACAAAGGGACGAGAACGATTCTAAATAACACATATAAGGCATTATAATGTAACGTAAATAGAATTAGTTTACAATTTTATATCAGTCTTGTTATAATATCATCCATTTTGAAAAGACACGTATACACGCATTGACATTTTTTTTTATCTGGTGACTATCACCATAACATTTTATTATACAGCTCACCTGAAGTATTTAGAGTAATCATAACGCACGAGTCGAGTTTGAATATCCTACAATATTGTACGGGTTATTTCTACCACGGATAAAAAAAATGCGTTCACTTGTTAATTTTCCGAAATGGTGAGTGACTGAGAAATTCAACATTAAACTAACGTTTTCCGATATCTGAAAACGTGCGGCAAATTCACAGCTAAACCTCAGTAAAACTCAGGAAAAACACGAAGTTCATCGCAAGTTATCCAGCACCAGGAAAATACCAATGAATAACCTGTTCTCCTGAACGTTTTTCTACAGTTTTCCCGTGCGCGCGAACGCGGCATTTTCCAAGCGTTTTCCTGCAGAATAACTAACGGTGAATGCCATAAAAACATGATGTTTCTCGATTGTTTTCCTGCTCCACGAAAACGCTACTGTACAGCTTGTTTTCCTGAACATTTTTGCATTTTAAGTTGTCCCGGGCGCGCAATCGCTGCATTTTCCGAGCGTTTTTCTCGTGGTAAATATTTTTCTCTACTTTTCCCGAGTACGCGAGCGATGCTGCTCTAACAGAATTACTAATGACCGTGATTAAGCGATGAAGATGTGTTGTTCGTCTCTTGTTTTCCTGCTCTATGGAAACACTTGTGAACAGCTTGCATTGTTTTCCTGTAGCTTTTTATAGTTTTCGAAAGGACAATAGCGCTGCATTTTCTGAGCGTATTTACACAGAGGCAATTCAGTCATTTGAGCCGTTTGGATCATTTGAGGAAATTAAACTTATTTGGTCATTTGAGTGGATTGGATCATTTCAGGCAGTTGGGTAACTTGCACTGATTGGGTCATTTTTGCTAATGGCTACATGTTAGGTTCTGCTGTTTCAGAAAGTAAATGTTATTTGAAATTGTTGGGTCATCTGAAACAGTTAGATCACTGGAACCAATTTGGTCCTTTGAGGCAATTCAGTCATTTGAGCTGGTTGAATCATTTGAGGCAATTCAGTAATTTGAGCCAGTTGGGCCATTTGAGCCAGATGGGTCATTTGAGTCAATTGGGTCATTTGAGGCAATTCAGTCATCTGAGCCAGTTGAGTCATTTGAGGCAATTCAGTCATTTGAGCTACCTGGGTCATCTGAGGCAATTTAGTCATTGGAGCTGGTTGACTCGTTTGAGGCGATTCAGACATTTGAGTTACTTGGGTCATTTGAGGAAATTCAGTCATTTGAGCCAGTTGGGTCAGTTGAGGCAATTGTGGCATTTGAGCTGGTCGGATCATTTGAGGCAATTCAGTCATTTGAGCTGGTTGAGTCATTTGTGGAAATTCAGTCATTTGAGCAAGTTGGGTCATTTGAGGCAATTTAGTCATTTGAGCTGGTTGGATCATTTGAGGCAATTCAGTCATTTGAGCTGCTTGGGTCATTTGAAGCAATTCAGTCATTTGAGCTGGTTGAGTCATTTGAGGCAATTCTGACATTTGAGCTGGTTGGGTCATTTGAGGCAATTGAGGTATTTGAGGCGGCTAAATCATTTGAGGCAATTCAGTCATTTGAGCTCTTTAGATCACTTGAGACAATTCAGTCATTTGAGCTGGTTGAGTCATTTGAGGCAATTCAGTCATTTGAGTTATATAATACAAGCTAATGTAGAAACAAAAAGTTGTTGAAAAGTGAAAAAAAAATGTTTTTTGCTTGAAATGTTTTCCTTTGGATGCTCAAAGAAATATTTTGATGGTGAGCTAGCTGGCTGATTGTGTAGCTTGCGCTAGACATTTGGGGCTGAGCTCTTCATCAGAGCATTTGAGCAAGTTGGGTCATTTGAGGCAATTTAGTCATTTGAGCTGGTTGGATCATTTGAGGCAATTCAGTCATTTGAGCTGCCTAAGTCATTTGAGGCAGTTTAGTCATTTGAACTGGTTGAGTCATTTGAGGCAATTCGGTCATTTGAGTTATATAATACAAGCTAATGTAGAAACAAAAAGTTGTTGAAAAGTGAAAAAAAAATGTTTTTTGCTTGAAATGTTTTCCTTTGGATGCTCAAAGAAATATTTTGATGGTGAGCTAGCTGGCTGATTGTGTAGCTTGCGCTAGACATTTGGGGCTGAGCTCTTCATCAGTGGAAGTCAAAAGATGATATGTTGTTGAGAAAGATCCCTGGGCCATGAGAGACAGAAAGCAACTTTCTCTGCAAAACATCACCTGCTGATCAAACTTCCACTGTTGAATGGCTAAGCCCAAACATCTGAAACAAAATATTTTTTAATCTGCACTTTATACTCGAGCACAAGAACTCTGTTTTATCCTATTTTAACTCGAAAGTTATCTTTCTCAGTTTGATTGTAATATTATAAATGAATGGAATTATTTCAATTTCCTACAGAGAGAATGAGCCACCAAACCTAACTGTAGTAGCCACCATCTTGAAAGAGGGCAAAGAAATAGAGCAGATTCAAAATGATTCTCTTTGTACAGAAAGAAGAATTCTAGGTATGTTTGAATGGGGATTGTTTTGCCAAATAAACACAATTTTTCTTTAACTTTGGGTGGAATTTATTTGAGACAAGTGCCCCATCTTGCCCCTTGCTCATTACAACCCTGAAAAACTGACAATCTTTTTCCTATAACTGATTGTGGTGTACTTACCTTTTCTTTCAGATGCTATTTATCAAAACTTTGCATCATCAAAGAAACGTAGACGACAGGAAGAAAATGGTACCTACGAGCAGTCTCAGAGGGAGCAAAAGAAGCGACAGAGAACTAAAAGGGTAAAAAAAAGTTGTTTGGCTCTTTAAACTCAATTATCTTATCAGCTTGTATGTTTGAGTAAATTTCAAAAGGTCTGAATTCAAGTTTGATCTAAAAATAGAGTAAGGTTCAAATTACTCTGTAGATCTGCCGATAAAAAAATTTTTAAGCCAAGAACAACTAAAACCAGTGACACTGAGATTCATTCAAGGGTTCTATGAATGTTTTATTGTAGGAATTGCTCACCATTCGGTATTATAAAAACTTCTTTCACATTTTCCCTTTTAGAAACTGGATAAAACGAGTCTGATGAAGAAGATCCCACATCAATGGTGACAAGGCCCCTTACCTGGAGGACAGAAGAAGTTACCAACTTCTTTCATATACTAGACCAGAGGTATAAGTCTTCCATGACGAATCAGCAAAAGAGGCAGTCAGTGAAAAGAAGGGTTGGTAGACCAAGTCATAGAAATAGTAGAGAGATCCCAGAAAAAAATTGCTCTGGGCCACCACCTAAATTTAATTTTAATTTTAGTATACAGTCACTCAACTCTCTTCCTTGGACCATCTCTTATAAAGTTGCTATATTTCTACCCAATCATACAGATGATGTAGGTCTACCATCTCCATTCTCTTATTCTGTCTGAATTTAGTTTTTAATTTAATAATTTGCTGATTTCAATTTTCTCCCAAGAAACCACCTCAGTTAGCAAATGTGAAGTGAGACTTCTGTACAATTATGGTTGATTACAAGAGAGTTTGAAGACTGTAAACATATACATGTATAACATGTAATATTTTGAGCAATTTAAGTTATTGAGCAGCCTACATTTAAGTTATTGTTAGTGGAAAGTGAAATCAGTTTCTAGAATGTTTTGCCTTCCCTGACCACCATTTGGCACTTATGTCCAGGATTGAATG